GTGTGTGTGTGTGTGTGTGTGTGTGTGTGTGTGTGTGTGTGTGTGTGTTGGTCCCTGGTTCTAAGCTGTGTGACTTAACCAGTAGCAAGACCTCAACTTGAAGCTTAGAGACCTTAAGTAACTTGGCCAAGGTCGCATAGCTAAGGAAGATTTTTGGCTTGTGAGGTAGATCTCGGGCTCTTAGTTGGTGTCTGGCCACAGGCTGGCTTGCTGGTTAATTTGTGGTGGGACACAAGTTGCTTCAGAACCTCAGTTTCCCCATCTGTCAAGTGTGAATGGTAAGACATTCCTTTTCTGAGTGCCTACTTGAAGGTGTCCTCAGATTTCAAAGAAGGGCCACCCTCCAAACTGTCCAGGAAAGAGATGCAGGCCAGCGCCCCCCACCACATACACACCTGCTTGGCCTGGCTTCAGCGCCTCTGGCTAGAGGAAACTCCTTGGAGGAAGGAGGCAGATCATAGCCTCTTGGATTGTAAGTGTTTATACCTCATGCAACAGTGAAGGGCACACTGTGGGGCTTCTGCCCAGGGTGAGTGATGACCTTGTAGGCCTTTGGGCTGCTGTCACCCCCAGGCAGGGCCATCAATCCCAGCAGCACCCTGCTGCTACCTTGTAAGGTGGCTGGATGCTGTCAGGATCAGCCAAGGCACGGAGGAGGATGCTTCTAGTTTCCACTTCCTCTGAACACCGTGAAGGGACCCCGGGCTGGTCCTACTGCTGATTTTCAGGATGGCCCTTGTGAGCCATGCATGCAAAGATGCTGCCACAAAAATTATGGCACAGTGCCTTTCAGGAGAACTCTTCCTTGCTCTTAGCCTCAGTTTGCCCATCTGTGTGAAAAGGGGATTTATCTGAGAGTGCAGCCCCTGCTTTTCCAACCCGAACTGGCCACATTCCACAGCAGCCTCCAGGAAAAGGCATTCCTTTCAAAGAATAATGAAGTGCCCAGGAATGAATAGGATTCCAGCCATGTAGGGACCAGGTGGCCCAGCCCGTTCATTTCTAAACTGCATTAAGGTGCTTTCTGACAAATGACCTTTCACAGGCAGAGAAAAGCAGCTGAGCACCAGGGGCAGAAAAGTGTTAATGAACACCCCCCACCAGAATCATCGATGGCTCCCCTCTCTCCAGCGACCTAATCATCCTCATTGGTGGGACTTTGGCCTCACTATACTGTTGTAATTTGAATTTCGTATGCATCATAGAGCAATGCAGTGATATAGCACTGGACTTTATTTTTAAAAAAGGATTTGTGCCTAAGCATGTATGTGTGTGTGTATGTTTATGTCTTATACATGGAGAGAGACTCTCCAAAGGTTTTGGAGACAGATATCAAGCCATGAACAGGGGAGGTGGGAGATGGACATCTTTGTTATAGATATTCTCCAGATGCCTTCCAAATCCTTTGCAATCAGGAAGTAAACAAAGGACAGATAACAGAAAATTATAAAGTCACGTGTGAAAATAAGCTCCTAGCTCTGCAGTGAGAGGTAACAGATGAGGTCTGGCCCTCTGGGGATCTCGGTGAGAAGACAAATCCGAACACAGACAGACAGAAGGAGGGACAGACAGAATGAATTCACACTACCGAAGGCAGTCAAATGCAGCTCAGGGCTGCCCCTTTCGAGTTCTGCCAAGCCCATGGTTAGTGTATTCTCTGTCCCAGACCAAAATTTGGATCCTTTGTCCGTTTGACCTTGACCCATTGTGACATAGATTCGAATTGGTAGCAGCTGCCTGGGACCGGCTTGGGACCATTTAGGGGGTTTGAGACACCCCAGGGTTGCCTGCTTCCATAGCCCAGGCTGGTGCAAGAGAAGGAGGAACAAGACTCATTCCCCAAGGTGATGCCTCCAGGCAGCAGCAGCAACTGCAGCTGCATTCGGCTCCTCCCTGCCCGTTCTCAGCTCTAATCTCTAGATCATACTCCCATTAATTATTATTACCGTATTAATCATACATGTGATTAATTCAGTAATGGTGATTCATAATTGATTGCATTTTATATGGCGCCTTTCATCCACACATCTCCCAAGATGTGCACAGCTTACCAGACTCACAGAGAGCAGGATGTGTTCTTAGCTCGTCTGCATTTTGTTGAATAAACTTCTCTTCGCAGAGGCTAATAGTCTTTGGGCAGACTGGGCTTGCCAGCCTTTGCTGCTTGTGTGTTTCTCTGAGCAAGGTGCCCTGCCTTGCCCGGTGTTGGCTGTGTTCTGGGAGTGATCAGCCTACACTTGGTAGGCTACTCCACCTGAGCCCCTAGATGCTGAGCCAGACCAGCCTTCCTCTACAGGAGGCAATGTTACAGAGTGGCTCTGGGGCAGGGCTCTAGAGCCAGGCTCTCTGCTAATGAGCTGTATAACCGTGGCAAGCTGCTTCCTGCCTCATTTTACCTCAAGTTACAGTGGCATTAATAATAGTCTGTCTGGGCAGCACTACTGGAAAATTGAATGGAATAAAACCAGTTCAACACCTAGAACCTGTTTCAACACCTAGAAACTTAAGCTGTGGAAGATCTACAACTAGGCTTTCTTTTTCTGTTTGCCTCAGTTTTCTCAGCTTTAAAATGGGATGATAGGGACCAGAGAGATGGTTCAGCAGTTATGAGAGAGCACTGCTCTGACGGAGGACCTGAGTTTGGTTCCCAGCACCTACTTCAGGCAGTTCACAATCACCTAGAACTCCAGTGCAAGGGAAATCCAATGCCGCCTTCTTCACACACACACACACACACACACACACACACACACACACACACACACACCACACCACACACACACACTTGAAAATAAAATCATAAAATGTGATGGTCAGTTTACTTCAGGAATTCCTTTGAGATCTGGATTTTGAGGATCCAGAG